TATATTATATATAATACGTGTTATAGAAAATGTATATATACCTGTATATATTATTTTTTCATATAGAAACACATACACACATACAAACACACACACATTCGAAAATATATATATATATATATATATATATTATATATATAGTATAATATATATATTATATATATAGATATATATATCTTATATATATGTATATACATTCATTCCACTGCAGACATAGGCCTCTCTCATACAGCTCCTGCGCAGTTACTGGAAATGTAAACATGTACGTCATCTCGAAATCCATCTATATATGTGTCTATATATAGACATATATATATATATATCTATATATATATATATATATATATATATATAGTGATATATATTATATTAAATATATATATATATTTATATTTTATTTTTTATATAATATATATACACACTACACACACACACACACCCACCACACACCACACACACACACACACCCACATATTATATTCTAGATAAGCTATATATCTATATCTATATATATATATCTATATATATATATGTGTGTGTGTGTAACGTTAAAATGTAAATAATATATATATAATCTATATATATCTTTATATATATATATCATATATATATATATATCTATATATATATATATATATATAATATATATATATGTATATATTAGTGCGTGTGTATGTTGTGTTCTTTATATAATATAATATGTAGATATATATATAAATATAATATATATCTAATATATATTATATATTATATATATAAGATATATATATATATATCTATATATATATATATTATATATATATATATATATGGTTATACATATCCGTGTATATAGATATATATTATAATTTATATATATATAGATATATATATATATATATATTCTATATATATATATATGCTAATATATAATATATATATATATATCTATATATATATCTATATATTATATAATCTATATATAGTTATATATAATATATATATAATAATAATATATATATATATATATATTAATAATATATATTATATATGCTTATACATATGCATGTCTATATATATATATAGATCTATATATATATATATATAATATAAGATATCTATATTATACTTTATATATATATATATGTACATATTTACTGTATGTATTATCTATAAATGTATATATCATACATCTGTATACTCATAAAAACGCAGAAACTAGATTCTTAGAATATTATACACTTATTTAATCTGCATGTGTGTTGGTGGTGTGTGTGGTTGTGTGTGGTGTGTTGTGTGTGTGTGTGTTGTGTGTGTGTGTGTGGTGTGTGTGTGGTGTTTGTGTGTGTGTGGTGTGGTGTGTGAGTGAATTGAATGAGTGAGTGCATAGATGTTTCTATGAATAATGTTTATATATATATATATACATATAGATATAATATATATATATATCTATATCTATATTATATATACAAATATATATATATATATAGATATCTATATATATATATATATATAATATATATTAGATATATATACATATATATCTATGTATGTATATATATATTATATATAGATATATTATATATATATAATATATATATATATATATATATATATATATATTGTAGAATATATATATATATATATATATCTAATATATAATAATATATATAGATATATATAATATATATATGTGTGTGTGTGTGTGTGGTGTGTGTGTGTTGTGTGTGTGTGTTGTGTTGTGTGTGTTTGTGTGTGTGTTTGTGTGTGTTTGTGTGTGGGCATATAATATAGATATTTTTATACTATCTATATCTATATATATATATCTATATATATATATATATACATATATATATCTATATACATCTTATACTATATCATGTATTTGTGGTGTCTATCTATATATAATATATCACATATATATCTATAATAGCTATATATACATATATAATCTATATATATATATCTTATCTATATATCTATATATATATATCTGTTGTGTGTGTGTGTGTGTGTGTGTTTGTGTGTGTTTGTGTGTGTATTGGGTGTGTGTGGTGTGTGTGTGTGTGTGTGTATATCCATATCACTATATATGTTAGATGTGTATGTGTGTGTGTGTGTGTGGGTGTTTTGTGTGGTGTGGTGTGGTGTGTGTGGTGTGTGTGTGTGTGTGTGTGTGTGTGTGTGTGTGTGTGTGTGATATATATATATACTATATATATATATATATATATCTATATATTATATATATATATATATATATATGTCTATATTTATATATCCACACACACATACATACAACATATATATATATATATATTATATAATATATATATATATATATTTAATATATATATATATATTATTATAATATATATATATAATATATATATATTATATATATCTAGTTTATCTATATCTATATACTACAATACCTATATATATATCTATATATATATATCTATAATATATATATATAATAGATATATATAATATATATCTATAGATATATATA